GATGCGGCCTGTTTGGAACCTGAGGACTGACAGAAAAGTCATCAAACCGCGGGCGCCCAAGCGCCCGACGTCGCGCGGAGGTCCGAGACGGGCCGGAGGGAAGCAAGACTCTCGCGAGATGACAGAGGTGGCGCTGGGCTGGGAGGGATCGCGGGGGGCGGGTACGTGGGAACGTCGGGGGCGTGGCCTTCTAGACCCGGATTGGTAGCGGGGAGCGAGCCGCGGTAGCGTTCGGTGCGCGCGGCCCCCGGGAGCCGCGGGAGACGCCTCTGCTCTAACCCGGTAAGTACAGTCTGCAGGGCCGAGCTCCGGGGACGCTGGGCCGCTCGCCGTCGGGTCCCCGCATTCCGTGTCGTCATCCCAAGAGTGGAGCAAAGGACGCCCAGGGTCGTAAATTCAGAGGACAGCTGCAATGCAACAAAAACTCGGGTGAAGTGGCGACCGTCCTCAAGCCCCCTGCCGGCTCCTCTTCCTGTTTTTTTTTTGTTTTTTGTTTTTATTGGAAGTGGGAAATTATGTATCTTTAAATTTTCGCTGCTCTCCGTTGAAAGGGAGGTAGTGTAGTGTCATGGAGAACACGTGGATCTGGTCACCCACAGTCTCATTTCAGTGCTTCCTTGTAAAGATGTGTAACCCTTCCCTCCTGCCCAACCTTCCGACACATGTGCTCGGCTGTTAGGCTCATCACACACACACAGAGGCATACACACACATGCGCATACCAGCTGGTTAACCAGATCAAAGCAAAGCTAAACACACCTCCCTGAGGATTTTAACACAAGGATCCCAGAGAGGTTAGGTTAGTGTGTCTTCTGGCAGATGGATCTCCAACCTACCATTGTGTGACACCTACAAATTATGCACTACCTGTGTTCTGAACTACAGAGACAAAGATGGGAAGACATCACAGATACAGTGGAAAAAAAAAAAAATCAAAGCACAAACTCTAAAGACTTAGAAGTAGGTCCTGACCTCAACATGGTCCCTGGTTTAAGAACATTCCCAAGTCATAGCAGCTTCCCTTTTGGATTTGGCCATTGGAGTTAGGTTTCCAGATTTGTAAGCAAGAGTCCTAATTATTCCACGGTTGGTCCAGTCCTCTCCCAGAGCACTTTCAAATAGAATATTCCAAAGATCCATGGTGATGGCTTCTTCCCCTCAGGACCATTTCTATATCATCAGTTGTTACGCTAACTTGAAAAGGGTGTCTCTTCAATACGACATGTTAATGTCACCTGCTAGAAAGTTGTCACAAAGGATTGGTGATTTGAGAACAGGACACTCTTCTGCAGCCAATGTAGATGTACCATGTCTGTGGTGTGAATTAGAGTCAGGTGCACAAACGCTGCCCCTCTTATTATGTGAATTGGGCCTCTCAGTGATATGCATGCCCTTTCTGAGCACAGCAGCCCTGTCAGCTGTCCCTGAACACCTTTGAACACAGAGACTTTGTTTTCCCCTCAGGAACCAGTAGGTGGAAAATCCGAACCTCTGAGATGAGAGCCCCACATAAATCTGCTGTCCGAACTGTATCACTCCAGCCTCATCAGCCAGAATGAGATCCCCAAGTAAAGGGTTCCTCCAGCCCAGGGACTGCCACCACCAAGCAGCCAGACTGTCATCACAGGGAACCTTCAGCAAAGCAAATGGCCACTTCTTAAAAGAGGCTTAAAGAGAAAGGCTCCACGTCTTACCCAACTTTACTTTTCCCCAAATGTTCCTCAGAAAAATCAGTAACATGGAAAACTCCATAAATATGTTTCATGATTTCACTTCAAAAAAAAAAAAAAAAAAAAAAACCAGCATTTCCCGTCTCCACTGTACCAAAATGAAAGCCAGTAAGAACTTGTTAGATGAGGAAATACGTTTCTCCTTGTTGTATGTTGAAATACATCTCCAGATAGATACAGTCAAATCATAACCCCTGGCTGTATATGCGAACACATTTGGAAATAGCATCTTCACGGATGTGATCAAGTTAAAATGAGATTATACTGGTGTGGACATAACTCTTTAGTCAGTGATCAGTGTCCTCAAAAGAAAAATGTGATATGCATTTTTTTTTTTTTTTTGGTTTTTTTGAGACAGGATTTCTTTCTCTGTGTAGCTTTGGAGCCTATCCTGGCACTCGCCCTGAAGACCAGGTTGGCCTTGAACTCACAGAGATCTGCCTGCCTCTGCCTCCCAAGTTCTGGGATTAAAGGAATGCGCCACCAACGCCTGGCTACATTGTGATTTTAAATTAAATTGTGATTAAGGTTTTTTTTTTAAAACCTTAGACATCAGTGCCTTTAGTTACACACCAGAACATATACATACGAAAAGATCTGTTGGAATGATTATTGCAGTTATCATAGCTTCCACAGTCACCACTGCAACTGCCACAGTGGCCTTAACTGCTTCTAGCCAAACTAGAACAACTGCAAAATCCAATTTTCAAATAAGCACTTGAAAATGGTGTTTGATAACTGACTGAACCCTTGTATGGTTTTCAGGACTGTGACGGCTATTCTTGGTTGTCAACTTGACTACAATCCAGACATGGAGGGCACACCTGGAGGGATTGTCTCCTTGATGTGAAGTAGATGAACCTTCTTCTAGTCCAGACCTTTGAGATAGGGAGACGCACACCTTTGATCTGGGTCTTGAGGTGAGAAGACACACCTTTAATATGGGCCACACCTTCTGCTGGAAGTCTATGTAAGGACACAGAAGAAGGAAGCTTTTGCTGTTGGACTGCTTACCCTCCCCTTGCTAGCCCATTGGGTTGGGTTGGTTTGGTTTGGTTTGGTTTTTCAAGACAGGGTTTCTCTGTGTAGCTTTGGAGCCTATCCTGACACTCGCTCTGGATAACGGGCTGGCCTCGAACTCACAGAGATCCACCTGCCTCTGCCTCCCGAGTGCTGGGATTAAAGGTGTGCGCCACCACCGCCCAGCTTAGCCCACCCATTCTTTCACTGGCATTAGAACCTACTTCTTTGGGATTCCAACCTATGCAGAAGACGAGCTGAGACATCCAGCCTTGTGAGCAACTACTGAGTTCTTGGACTTTCCATTCACAGCTAGCCATGCTTGGAGCCATTCCATGAGAGAGAGATTCATTCCGTAAGTTCTTTGACTCTAGAGAACCCTGACTAATACAGATTTTGGTACTAGAAGTGGTTCTAGAGAAACAGAAGTATCAAGATGAATCTTTTAAGCATCTGGAATAGGCTTTTCTATTCACCAGCGCTTTCAACTACTGAAGCCTCTCCAGTCAGGGAGAATGCTGAGAGCCCATGGTGTGAACTGTATTACAAACTTAAGGAGATGGATGCATTTGATTATCCCGATTCACCCATTGTAAATGGCAGTGAATTTGGTAACTCTGTATATGAAACTTTTGACAGTTTGGGGGAAAATAAGGAAAATGATGCTGCTGGTTGGTTGCTCTTAGGATCTCTGGGTAGACTGATAAAGGATAGGAATGAGCTCCGTGAGAAAATTAACCAACTTCAGAAGATGGTGAAGGGCAACGAAGAACTTAGTGATAAAGTTGACCAGCTCCAGATGCAGATAAACAGTCTAGAGGTTTCTAAGTGTGTCCTGGAAGAGAATCTCCTCGCCAGCAGCCACAGAGCTCAAGTTGCAGAAAATCAAACTAAAGCCCTCGTTATAAGGTTGGCTGAACTACAGCAAAAATTCAGGTCCCAGCCTTGGAGGGTGTCAGCAGTTAAAGTAAGGGCATTAGTTGGTGAAGAATGGGATCCAATAACTTGGAGTGGGGATGTGTGGGAGGACCCTGTTGACAATGAGAACTTTGAACCCTCAGATGCTCCAGAGTTTATCTCACCTGACGAAGCGGTGCCCTCAGCCCCGCCCCTTGAAACATCGCCTTTTTCACCTTTGACTGAGAAAATTAATCCTCCATTGTCTGCTAAACCAGCAGTGACTTTCTCTGAAGGAGATGCCAGCCAAGACAATACTGATGTCCCTCGGGGCTCTAGACCTGAAACTAGGCCTAAAGCAAAGCAGGCTTCTAGCAGGAAGGTAGAGCGTGTAGTCCGTGGGAAGGTGCACTACACTACTAAAGAGCTTAATGAATTTGCTGTTTCATTCAAGCAGAAGTCTGGGGAGCATGTGTGGGGATGGGTGTTAAGGGTGTGGGATAATGGTGGAAGGAACATAAAACTGGATCAGACTGAGTTTATTGATATGGGCCCTCTGAGTAGAGATTCTCGGTTTAATATGGAAGCCCGCACAGTTAGAAAAGGTGTCAAAAGTTTGCTTGAATGGTTGACTGAAGCATTTATTAAAAGGTGGCCTACTGAAAAGGAGTTGGAGATGCCTGATCTCCCCTGGCTTAGTGTTGATGAAGGGATTTTAAGGCTCAGGGAAATTGCAATGCTAGAATGGATATACTGTGTACAACCTAATCCTCCACAGTGGGAAAGCCCAGAAGACATGCCCTTCACTAACCCTATAAGGCGAAAAATGGTGAGAGGGGCACCAGCACATTTGAAGAGTTTTGTTGTCGCCCTTTTCCTTGTGCCAAACCTTAGGGTTGGCGATGCTGCTGCTCAATTGGATGAATTAAACGCAATGGGTTTGATTGAGCCCCCAGGTGGCAGGGGCCAAGTGGCAGCACTGAATCACCAGAGGCAAGGTGATCATAGTTATCATATTGGCAGCACAGACAAAACAGTGTCCATAATGGCCTGACCAGTCAGAATAGTCAGCATAGGAAAAGTGAATTTCATTTTGGCATGATTCGTACAGCCATTTAGTACTGGCTAATCAATCATGGTGTTTCCAGGCATGAAATGGATAAGAAGCCTACAGCATTTCTGTCTGATCTGGATAAGTAGAAAATTTCTCAAACAAATGAAAAAAAAAAAAAAGGCTACATTAGATCTTGATAAAATGTAGTCTTGCCAATGAATCAATTTCCAGATTTGAGCTAGTTTGCAGACGCAGAACCTCTTGAATGTAGGGGTGGCTGGGTTCCTCTGAGGAAGAACCCTGATCAGATACCTAAAAGTTTTTTGTTGTTGTTGTTGTTGTTTTTGTTTTTCGAGACAGGGTTTCTCTGTGTAGTTTTGGAGCCTATCCTGGCACTCACTCTGGAGACCAGGCTGGCCTCGAACTCACAGAGATCCACCTGCCTCTGCCTCCCGAGTGCTGGAATTAAAGGCGTGCACCACCAACCCCCGGCCAGATACCTAAAAGTTTTATACTTAGTCTTTCTCCAGTCCTTCCCCATAAGAACCAGAGGCCTTTCACAAGGGTGACTGTACACCGGGGAAAAGGAAACAATCACTTTCCAGGGTCTGTTGGATGCTGGTTCTGAATTGACAGATTCCAGGAGATCCCAAGAAACACCATGGCCCTCCAGTTAAAATGGGGGGCTTATAGAGGCCAGGTGATTAATGGAGTTTTGGCTGAAGTCTGACTCACAGTAGGTCCCCAAACTCATCCTGTGGTTATCCTCCCAGTTCCAGAATGTATAATTGGGATAGATATACTTAGAAGTTGGCAGAATTCTCACCTTGGTTTACTGACCTGTAGAGTGAGACTATTATGGTTAGAAAGGCTAAATGGAAGCATTTAGAGTTGCAGAGGCAACTGCCAAGGAAAATAATGAATCAAAAACAATATTGCATCCCTAGAGGAATTGCAAAAATTAGTGCCACCATCAAGGACTTGAAAGATGCAGGGATGGTGGTTCCCACCACATCTCCTTTTAACTCTCCTATCTGGCCAGTGCAGAAGACAGATGGGTCATCATGTTAAGTGCTCACCAAAAGATGATGTCAGCTGAGGAGGAGTTCAGTAACCTAGTAGATAGCATGACACATTCTATAGACAGTTAGCCTCTTTCCCTAGCCATTCCTGTCATTGCCCAGTGAACAAAGTGGCCAAGGTGGCAGAGATGGGGTTATTCGTCAGCTCGACAACATGGACTTAGCCTCACAAAGGCTGACCTGGCTACAGCTGCTGCTGAGTGCCAGATATGCTAAGAGCAGAGACCAGCACTGAGCCCCAGATACGGCACTATTCCCTGGGAGGACCAGCCAGCAACCTGGTGGCAGGTTGACTACATTGGACCACTTTCTCTGTGGAAAGGACAACACTTTGTCCTTACTGGAGTAGATACTTATTCTGTTTATGGGTTTGCCTTTTCTGCACATTAATGCTTCTGCCAGAACCACCATCTGTGGACTTAGAGAATGTGTGATCCACCGACGTGGTATTCCACACAGTATTCTTCTAACCAAGGAGCTCACTCCACAGCCAGAGAAGTGCATCAGTGGCCCACGATCATGGAATCCCAGGGTCTTACCATGTTCCCCGCCATCCTGAAGCAGCTGGCCTGATAGATGGAATGACTTTTGAAGATGTTGGACCCAAAAGTGAAGTCCAACTCTGGGAGACGCACCCCACAGAGTCACTCACAGGACACAAGTTCGATGCAAAAGCAAAAGGATTTTATTCCAACAAGTTGGGGTCTCTCCCTGGGAAGAGAACGACCCAAGTTTCCAAAGCAGGCAGTTTTTATGTCTTTTTGGTCACTAGGCAAGAGTATGATAACATATTGATTGTTTGGCTATAACATACATGAGTCATTTACTGATTGGTTGGGAACTGAACTTACAATTTTGCCCACCAGGCGTTTGGAATGTTATTTTGTTTTTTACACCTGCAAGGCCATGGGACAGCTAGTGGTTTTTCTGGGAACAGAGTGACTTATACTTATTTTCAAAACTTGGGTGCTCTGGAGCAGGATAAACCTTAACAATTTTTAGAAACCAGACAGTTGTTGAAGATAATAGAAACTAGTAATAATAACAATTTCCAGAGACTGGTCATCATGACCGACCATTTCATGTGTTCTTCGTCCCAGAGCTGTGTGTGTGGCCAGAGTGATTTTCAAATATATGCTGGTGGGTATCAGGCTAGGCTTGAGTTGGGGTCTTTCAAAGACACAGTTACAGCATCAATTACATGGCAGCAGCCTGGAGGGCTGGGGCAAGGTTCTCTACAAGGTGGTATATGCATGGAATCAGTGTCCATTGTATGGTATGGTTTCTCCCATAGCAAGGATCCATGGATCCAGCAATCAAGAGGTAGAAAAGGGAATAGTTCCACTCACTATCACCCCTAGTGACCCACTAGGAAAAATTTTGCTTCCTGTGACCCTAAGTTCTGCTGGCTAGTTTTGGTTCCAGAGGGGAGAGGAGTACTGCCAGGAGCACAGCAAACATTCCATTGAACTGGAAGCTCAGCTTCCCTCTGGTCACTTTGGGCTTCTGATACCCTTAAACCAACAGGCTAAGAAAGGAATAACAGTGTTAGGAAGGGTGATTGATCCTGATTACCAAAGGGAAATTGGATTGCTTGTCCACAATGGAGGTAAAAAAGGATTATGTCTGCAGTACAGAAAATCCTTTAGGGCATCTCTTGGTGCTACCATGTCTTGTGATTAAAGTCAACAGGAAGCGGCAGCAGCAGTGAAGGTATGGGTCACTCCTCCAGGAAAAGAGCCAAGACCTGCTGACATGCTTCCCAAGGGTGGAGGAAATACAGAATGGGTACTAGAGAAAAGTAGCTATAAATACCTGCCAAGGCCACATGACCAGTTGCACAAAGAAAAAACAGAGAATTATTATTGACATGAGTGTTTCTACTGTATTTTGTTAAGAACATGTGCAGCAGAGGCAGATTGATCTCTGTGAGTTCAAGGACAACCTGGTCTAGAGCTAGTTCCAACCTGGTCTAGGCTACACGGGGAAACCCTTCCTCCAAAAAAAAAAACAAAAAACAAAACAAAAAACAAAAGAACAACAATATATGCATAGATACTTGTATTTTCTTTCAATTTCCTTGTCATATGTTATAACATTAATTAAAAGAATACTAATAGGATGTCCCCCAAGGGACATTGCCACCTATTCTAAATGCATAATGTGTTTCTGGTTATATGAGGGATAGTTATGTTAGGTGTAATTATGACCTGGTTAAATACATAATGCATTTGTGATAGTGCATGGGATGATTACATTATGTTTAGGCATTATTATGGCCTGGATGTTGTCTTCATTTGGAAATGAATCATGATATAAGGATATATGATTGTATGTCAGGTTGACAAGAGGTGGACTTGTAATGACTATTTTTCATTGTCTCCTGTGAGAGATTTTTTACTTGGTTTGACGTGGATGAACCCATTCTCCTCAGAATCTTTGAGATAGGAATATACACCTCTGATCTGGATGTAGAGGCAGGAAGACACACCTCTGCTGGAAGTCTATGTAAGGACACAGAAGGAAGCTTTTGCTATTGGCCCGCTTGCCCTCGTCTTGCTAGCCCATCCATTCTTTCACTGGCATTGGAGCCTGCTTCTTTGGGATTGCAGCATATGCAGAAGACCAGCTGAGACAACCAGCCTTGTGGGACTGAACAAGTACTGAATTCTTGGACTTTCCATTCACAGCTAGCCATTGTTGGAGTAGCTGGACTGCAGGTTGTAAGTCATTCCAATAATAAATTCCCTTTATATAGAGAGTGAGATTCATTCCATAAGCTCTGACTCTAGAGAACCCTAACTAAGACAAGGACTTAATCTTAAGGTGTGATCTTTTACAAATACAGCCATTCTGTTTGTCTTCCTTCTCAAAGTCTTACTGTGCATTTGCCAACCTTTCAGAAGGAAAAATAAATGAAGTGGTGCAGATTCAGGCTATCCCTATAGTACACCATGCCTTAACCAGTTCTTTGCCAGTGACCGAATAAATCAGGAACTGTAGCAATGCATTATGATAAAAATATCTCTTAGCCAAGTGGTGGAGGCATACACCTTTAATCCCAGCACTCGGGAGGCAGAGACAGGTGGATCTCTGTGAGTTCAAGGCCAGCCTGGCCTATAGAGTGAGTTCCAGGACAGGCTCCAAAGCTACACAGAGAAACCCTGTCTCAAAATAAAATCTTTTATATTCTAAGAAAATAGAACTTTTCCTGGACTTCACAGACAGTTAATCATATACCTTGCGGTCACTTAAGACTGCTATCCTACTCAGTTTGTTTGTTTAATCTGCCTTTAAGAGAACAATGTAAAAGCCAACTTTACTTGTCTTGGATTTCCCATGTGATCAACTTTTGGTTTTCTTGTTATGTTTTGTTGAGGTTTTTTTTGGTTTGGGGAGAGGTTTGTTGTTTCTGAGAACTGGATCTGTGTAGTCCTGAGAGCCCTGGAACTTGTTTTGTAGACCAGACTGGCCTCCAACTCACAGAGATCCTCCTGCGTCTGCCTTCCAAGTGCTGGGATTAAAGGTGTGTGCACATGCCCAGCCCATATGATCAACTTTTACAAATTAAGCTAATACATAGATGTAATCTTGAGTTATCTACTCTCCCATGCTCCTGACCCAAGAGTCATGCATGTCTGTTTGACCAAGTGTTGTGCTGGAAACAGCTGATGGGCAGAAAGCAGTCTTATAAAATGAATATCCATAAATGTTGACGACAGTATTCAGATATTTCTTGATACAAAAGAAAAAGACGTGACATGGATCCACAACATAAACAGTATGTGAAGAATGGGGCAGCCTCGGGGATGCTGGTTCAAAGACAGAGCACCTGGTTTTCCCAGCAAACACTAGAGCAGTGGTTCTCAACCTTCCTAACGCTGTGCTGAGACCCTTTAATACAGCTCCTCATGTTGTGGTGACCCCCCAACCATAAAATTATTTTCATTGCTACTTCATAACTGTAATTTTGCTACTGTTACGAATCCTATATGTGTTTTCTGATGGTCCTGGGTGACCCCTGTAAGGATTCAGGCATTATGCTGGCCTGCCCCTGTCACCTGGCAGAATGTTCTCAGGCAGAGCTCTGGACCAGGGTTTCATGAGTACTAGTCAGCCAGCAGGTGCAAAGGACCCCTTTAAAAGATGGACCCCACACACACACACTCTCTTGCTCTCTTTCTGCTCTTTCCGGCTCTCCTTTCTTTCTGCTCCTGTCTCCCTCTTCTCATCTGTCCGCCCTCTGTGTCTCTGTGTCTCTTTACTTTGTCTTTCCTTCCCCCACCTCCCCTTTCTAATAAAACTTCTCACTCTGCCAGGCGTTAGTGGCGCATGCCTTTAGTCCCAGCACTGGGGAGGCAGAAGCAGGCAGATCTCTGTGAGTTCAAGGCCAGCCTGGTCTCCAGAGAGAGTGCCAGGATAGGCTCCAAAGCTACACAGAAACCCTGTCTCAAAAAAACAAAAACAAAAACCACTTCTCACTCAAGCTCTGTCTGCCTGGCGTATTTCTCCCCCACCTCAGTCACCCTTTGCTGGCCAAACAGCATGCCACCCCCCCCATGCAGGACCCCCTTCCAGCTTTATCCTAACCTAAGCAAAAGAACAACCCCTATGAAAGGGTCATTCAGACCTTCAAAGGGTCATGACCCACAGGTTGAGAACTGCTGCACTAGAGATAATAGTCATGAAATGCACCTTCTCCTGAACCTCCAAGAAGGACCCAACCCTGTGAACAACTTGTTTTCTGACTCTGCTTCTGAAGTCGGGAGAGAATCCATTTCTCTTTTTTCAAAGATCTTTTTAATGTGTATGGGTGTTTTGCCTGCATGTATGTCTGTGCACATTTGTGCAGTACCAAAGGAGGCCAGATGACAGCTTTGATCCCCTAGAACTGAAGTTACATACTGTTGTGAGCCACCATGTGGGTTCTGGGACCCAAACTTGGGTCCTTTAGAAGATAAGTCAGCACTTGTAACAGCTGAGCCACCTCTCCAGCCAGAACCCACTTCTCTTGTGTTATGCCATGGCAGCTCTAGAAGATAACACACTTTTCTTTTCCTTCTTATTTGGTATATATGAGTGTTTTGTGTGCATGTATATTGGATGCCCTGGAACTGGAATTACAGATGGTTGTGAGCTGTCAGGTAGGTATTGGGAACCAAACCCAGGTCCTCTCTAGGAACAGTATGCACTCTTAACTGCTGAGCAGTCTCCCCAGCCTTTTTTTTTTTTTTTTTAAGAATTTTCAAATTGATCTGACACAGAACCCTCTTTCACACAATAATACCTATTGACATGCAGGAAACACAATTTGGGAGCGCCTGGCTCCACAAAGACAATAGTGGTGTACCTGACTTACAAAGGAAATTTGAAGCTACTTCATTCTCCATTTTGCCACCATAATCACCTTCTAGAACTGGATCTGCCTAAATTGACATTTACTTACCTAAGGAAAATACTTAAAATATCAACTTTATTAATTACTGGGGGGGGGGGGGGGGGGGTGCTGCAAGCCACAGCATACATGTGGAGGTCAGAAGAGTACCTCCAGGGTTGGGTCTTCCCTTCCACTGTGGCTTCCAGAGATCAAACTCCTGTCACTGGGCTTGCTTGGTAAGTGCTTTTACCATTGAACCATGTTGCCAGTCCTCAGCTATCTTTTAACATCAAAAGACTACACAGAAAAGGCAAAAATGAAAGTCAACAGCAACATTTAGACATAGCTGGGAATAGTATTAGTCACCATCCATAGTCCTCACAACCTCCCTCCCCAAATAAATGTACTCAATTTAACACAAGCTTTCTAGCTCTGCTCCCAACCCCCCAGACTGGCATCCCTAGACACCTCCTCTTATTTACTAATTAGCCCTCACTGGGCAAACTGGTGTCCTAGTGTCTTGACTACAAAATGAATTGCATGCACCCTACCATAGTAATTAATACCATATTGCAAAAACATTCTTTAAAGATTTATTTTTTATTTATGTGTATGTGTGCGTAAATATGTACGAAACCCGTGTGAGGATATCCGATGAGGCCAGAAGGTTTCAGTCAGCCTGACACTGGAATTACAGGGGGTTGTGAGCCTCTTTTTGACAACTGAACTTTTTTCTTCTGGAAGAGCAGCCAACAACCTTAACCGTGGAGCCATCTCCCCAGTCCCTGCAAAACAGTCTTAGTCACCTAATCTGGCTTGAGTTGCAGCTACCAGCATACTTTGTGGTGGACCCAATTGTGATTTTTCATTTTTTTTTCCTCTGGAGTTCATGTTTGTGGGTCCCTGAGGTGGGACAGTATTCCCAAAGAGAATTTGCTTTTCCTCAGGCCCCAGGGATTCAAGAGTCATTTTAATTCATTTCTTTGTTTGGAACCAATATCCCAGTCTGGTCATTAAAACTAGACCCTGACTGGACAGTGGTGGTGCACACCTTTAATCCCAGCACTTGGGAGACAGAGGCAGGTAGATCTCCGTGAGTTCAAGGCCAGCCTGGTCTACAAAGAGAGTTTCAGGATAGCCAGGACTGTCTCTGAGAAGCCCTGTCTCTGAGAGACTGAAAAAAAAAAAAAAAAAAAAAAAAAACTAGACCCTGAATCCACATGTCCAACAGAGATTTTCTTTCTTTTTTTTTTGTGGGGGGGGGGGGGGGTTTCAAGGCAGGGTTTCTCTGTGGCTTTGGAGGCTGTCCTGGAACTAGCTCTTGTAGACCAGGCTGGTCTCGGAGATTTTCTTTTTCACATACATATATTTATACCCCAGACTTTTATGCCAACTACATCATAGGCCTTTTTATCAGTGTATGTCACAGGCATCTCAAAATCAGTTTGCTTGATATTTGTTGCAAAATATTTGTTGAACTATGTAAAGATGTGTTGCATTTGGTTAATTATGTAAAGATGTGTTACTGTTTCACCTTGCCTGCCTAAGGCACCTGATTGGTCTAATAAAAAGCTGAATGGCCAGTAAATAGCAAGGAAGGAGGTATAGGCAGAAATTCCAGGCAGAGAGAATAAGTAGGAGGAGGAATTTAGGCTCAGGGAAGAAAGGAAGGGAGAAAGAAAAGAGACACCAGGGGCTGACCAGCCAGCAGGCATAGAGGAAGCAGGAAAGTAGGACATGGGGAGAAATAGAGATGAAGAGAAACAGGTTCAATTAAGTAATAATAAGAGCTAGTTGGGAATAAGCTTAAGCTAAGGCCAGGCATTCATAATTAATAATAAGTCTGTGTGTCTTTATTTGGGAGCTTATTAATGACCCAAAGAAAAATCCAACTACAGATACTGGCCTTCTCCTGGAAATGCGGTTCCACATGAATTTTTTATTTCAGGAAAAAGTACCAGACTGATGTGTGTGGGTGTATAGGAAGTTTACTGAACAATGAGCAAATAAGGTTTGAAATTTGGTTTACAAACAGTTCACTTGTATATCCCCTAGCTGTGCCCACTGAGAGGGAGATGTGTTTTGTTTTCTAATTATACAATGATACCATATGGGCTACAAGGGGCCCAATCTCCCTATAACTACTTTTCCTCCCCTCACCCTCAGTTCCAACATCCCAAAGGCTCCCTTAGTCCTTCTGTCTCCTATGTCCTCTCCCTTATGGTCACAGTAAGCTGCTGAATCCTGGTAATATGAATGCAGAATTCTGAGTTCTATTTGAAAAGAATTCATTTTAGTGCAACTATGCTCTGACCTACAGAATATGGCATTTAAAATGGTTTGTTAACTTAGGACTTTTCATGACGATGAGACACATCTGTTCCTGGCATCACCAATTACATCAAAGAGAATGATGGACATTGAAGAAACTTGTTACCGAGTTTGCCTTCAATATGGCAGAGAAAGCCATTTAGACAAACTGCTCTTGCCTAGACTGCTTGACTGTATGCTGTATGGAAAGTACTGTGGGATGCTACAGAATGTCTATAAATCTTTTATGGATTTGTGAAGTATAATATTGCTATAGTTTGGATATAACTTGGTCTTTGTGGTGACTGGCCATATTGTGGTAATAGATTTAGAAGATTGTCTGTGTCTCTGACAGTGTTTCCAGAGACATTTAATGGAGGAGAGAAACCCACCCTGCATGTGAGCAGTTTCAGCCCATGGGCTGGGGTCACAGATGAAACAAAATAAACACCAGCGTCTCTCTCTCTCTCTCTCTCTCTCTCTCTCTCTCTCTCTCTCTCTCTCTCTCTCTTCTTCTCCTCTCTCCTCCCCTCCCCTCCCCTCCCCTCCCCTCTCCCTTCCCTGACATGGTAGACTATATCCCCTCTCAATAAACCTTAAGTTGCTTCTCATCTGATACAGCAATGAGAAGTGAAACTAATTCAGAACCCAACCCAAAAATGAAAAATTGATTACAGGCTTGCATTACCACCACCTGCCACTTGGGAGGCAGAGGCAGGCAAATCTCTGAGTTCAAGGCCATCCTGGTCTACAGAGTGAGTGAGTTCCAGGCCAGCCAGGGATACACAGAGAAACCCTGTCTCGGGGAGGGAGGGAGGAAGGAGGGAGGGAGGGGGAAAGGGAGAGGGAGGAAGGAAGGAAGGAAAGAAAGAAAATGAAACTTGATAGGACTTTGGCAGAGCAAGGCATAACAGGAGGTGATCTAGTGGCAACTGTCCATGAGAAAAGTAACTCAAGGGGTCTTTCAGGAGGAGATTAGGTCCTTAGGAGGGGAGCATCAGGGAAGAAAGTGGGTCACTGGGAACAGGCCTCCTGGCTTTATTCCCTGGTCCTTCTTCCTGTTCACATTTGGACTGTTAATACAATGTGACCACCCAGCCTCCTGCTCCTACCGCAGTGCCTTCCCTGCCTGCTTCCATGTCTTCTCCACTGTGGCTGTCTGTATCCCTCTAGCCCTGTGAGCCAAAATAAATCTTTTTCCCTTAAGTTGCAAGAAGGCAGTGCCTCATCAGATACCAAATCTACCAGCATCTTGGGCTTGGACTTGCCAGCCTCAAGAACCATGAGAAGGAAATCTCTTTGTTTATAACCTACCCAGTCTCTAGTATTCTGTCATAGCAATCTGAGGGATCTGCCTATTACCATTGACCTATGGGCATTCAAAAAACAAACGTATCTGAGTAAAACCAAATGTGGGCTGTATGTTACTGTTAGGGCTAAATACCTTGCATTGAAAATTTACATACACCAGGTAGAAAATACCCACCACTTCAAGAGACATACACTTGAGGTATGAAGTCTGAAGCTGTAAAGGATTATGATGTGTGTCACTAGCTCTCAAGTGGGTCAAAAAACAATAGGAGAGGGGGAGAAAGAGAGAGAAATGGGATAAACGCTGCCAACAGTAGACTCTAGATGAAAGATATGCTGGTGTCTACTTTATGATTTGTGCAACTTCTCTATACATTTTGAAAGTTTCCACAATTGAGAGTTAAACAAGACAAATCATAGTGATTCCTTATTAGAGTCACATAAATGGTTTAGGGCAGAGACACTGTCAAAAACAAAGAATAGAAAAACCCAGCACTGGCAGAGGCTGGATGGAGGTCAGTCAGTGCATGCTTGGGGACTCATTTCTGGTCAGGGATGTCTCACAAAGTTGAAAATACCTGTGGATAGAGGTACAGCATTACAGAGTGCATTCCCTTACAAGCCCAACAGCTCTCAGCCAAGACATACAACTCTTAAAGCCTGGTGGGGACCTTTGCCCAGAGGATCCCATGGTGCAGAAGACACACCCACTTCAGGAGAGGCTCTGCCATCTCTGAGCTCCACATGGAAAAAAAAAACTGCTTTTGAACAGGTCCTATAGTCTTTGAGATTTCGTATACCTACCAGAGGAGAAGAAACTTGATAGGAAGGGTGATGATGCCTGCCAGCTGTCCAGCTCCTCAACTTCCTTTATCTCATTACTCAAGTTGTTGGCCTTCTCCTTCTCCAAGAAAGGCAAGCTGGAGGAAGAACACAATCCTGTATGTCTTATTAAATTTACAAACATCACCAATAGATAAGGCACTATACCCCACAAAATGAAAGAGGCCTCCACGTCAGGGGGCTGGGGAGATAGCTCAGTGAGTAAAGTATAGTTGGACTTTCCTTTGGGCCACTAGCTCACAAATAAAGACATGGAGACTTGTTAATTATGAAAGCTAGACCTTAGCTTAGGCTTGTCCCACTATCTTTTATAACTTAATTAGCCTACTTTTATTAATCTATGTTTTGCCATGTGGCTTCTTACCTTTCATTCCGTATATCTAGCTCCCTCCATGTCTGACTGGTGTCTCCTCTGCACCTTACCTCTTCCTACCCACAAGTCCTCTCTCTGCCCACAAGTCCCGCCTATACCTCCTGCCTAGCTATTGACCATGCAGCTCTTTATGAAACCAATCACAGCAATATGTCTTCACACAGTGTACAAATATTCCACAACAGTAGATTGCCATGCAACTACAGGACCCGAGTTCAATCCCCAGAACCCACATAACAAAGCAGGTTGTGGTGGTGTGTGCTTGTAATCCCAGCACTGGGACAAGCAGAGACAGGCAGATCTAGTGGCTCTCTAGCCCAATCAAAAACCTCAGGACAGTTGAGAGTCCCTGTCTCAAAAAATAAATAAATAAATAAATAAAAGATGGCCAACACCTATGGATAACACCTAAGGTTGATCTCTAACTGCGACATTCACACATTCAAACAAAAGTATGTGTGTGCATGCATACAGAGAGAGAGAGATGGAATAAGTAAATAGACATATATATATGAATATAGATGTATATATTAAAAGGCAGACCTAAATACAAAGTAATTTAAAAGCAAAAGAATGATCTAAGATATATCAGCTACATGAAAATGAAATAGGAGACTTGTAATCTTAATATTTATAGACATGGATAATGAAAGTAATGCAATTGTATAAAACCAGGCTGGAGAGATGGCTCAGAGGTTAAGAGCACTGGCAGCTCTTCTAGAGGTCCTGAGTTCAAGTCCCAGCAACCATGTGGTGGCTCGAAATTGTATAAAACCCATTCATCCAGTAACATGGGAAATAAAAGGCCACCTGCAAATTTTGTTTCATAATTGAGGAAATGGGTAATCCAAGCAGACAGAGCACAGTGTTCTCAACAAGTCTGAAATGCCAGAGATAGATAAGTCATTAGAGAATCTTCAATGCACGGAAACAGCAGGGCAAAGCTGTGGGAAAGAAAGCTACACAGAAAATGAGCTTCTGAAACTTACATAGCAGTCCCCTTGAGTTTTGCTAAATGTTAAGACAACCATGTATAAGGTGGAATGCCATAGAAAAATGAAGTGGTCTATTGTGAGCTGTGCTGGATAGTTGTATGTCAACTTGACACAAGCTAACACCATCTGAGAGCTGGGAATTTCTCAATTAAGAAAATGTCTCTATAAGATCGGGTTGTAGTCAGGCATATAAGGTATTTTCTTAATTGGTGACTGATGGGGAGGGTCCCCAGCACATTCTCAGTGGCACCATCCCTGGGCCAGGGGTCCTGGGTTCTATAAGAAAGCAAACTGAGCAAGCCAGTAAGCTGCTCCCTTCATGGCAACTGCATCAGCTCCTGCTTCCAGAATCCTACCCTGACTTCCTTTGGTGATGAACAGTGATATGGAAGTGTAAGCCAAATAAACCCTAAGCATGAGCTAAGTTGTTTCCAGCTCTCGAAGAAAACTGAAAGATTCTTCTAGATCCTTCAACTAAGTTGAAGACTTCATTACTCCAAGCATTTGGTAGAGACTCCAAAGAGAAGGGTTAGTTACTCTGCACTATCCTAACAATAGTCAAAACATACTCAAAAAGGGTCACACCTTCAAAACCAAAGTATGAAAAGGCGGGGCATTGGTGGCGCACGCCTTTAATCCCAGCACTCGGGAGGCAGAGGCAGGCAGATCTCTGTGAGTTCGAGACCATCCTGGTCTCCAGAGTAAGTTCCAGGACAGCCTCCAAAGCTATACACAGAGAAACCCTGTCTCGGAAAAAAAAAAAAAAAAAAAAAAAAAGTATGAAAAGATCATACCAAACTGCAAATGACTGTCAGAATAAAGCTGAACATTCTTTAAGGGACGATAACAAAACTCAGACACTCAACACCTTAACATCACAATGTTTCATATTCAAACAAAAATTACTAGGCCTCGCCAAGAATCAGAAAACTGTGATCAGTAATCAGATGAAATATCAGTCAGCAACAACAGACCCAGAAATGACAGAAATCATTTAGCAAACAAAAATACTAACATAGCTATGATAACTATGCTGATATATTTAAGGAAAATGAGGGAATCAATAAAAGATTTAAAAAATCATGCTGGGTGGTGGTGGTGCATGCCTTTAATCCCAGCACTCGGGAGGCCAACACAGGCAGATCTCTGTGAGTTTGAGGCCAACCTGGTCTACAGAGTGAGTTCCATGACAGCCTCCAAAAAAAGCTACACAGAGAAACCCTGTCTCAAACAAACAAATCAGAGTCAGCTCAGAGGATAAAAGCAATTTGCCAACAAGTGTGACGGACAGCCCACGTTCCATCCCCAGAGCCCACAGGACAGAATGAGAGAACCAACTCCCAAAAGTTGTTTGTCCACACACATACTCATGCACACATACATACACACAATACATAAATCAATGTAAAAAGTCACATGGAACTTCTGGAAATTAAAAATATTAAGCTGGCCATGGTGGTACATAATCCCAGTGTAACAATAACTCTTTCTGCCAACTGCCTGAGCTCCGCCGCCATGTTAGGCCCCCAAATAACACACAGAATTTTATATTAGTTACAATGCTGCTGGCCAATGACTTGAATTTCTTATTTGCTAGCTCTGCCTTAAGTATCAACCATAACCATTAATCTATATATTTTATAAAGACTTATCAAGGAAGCCAGCAGCATACTTCCTCTCTTCCCGGGATCACATGGTAGCTCTCCTCTTTACTACATTTCCCAGAATCCTCCTTCTCTCCTAATTCTGCCTAACTTGCTTCCCTATTGGCCAACAGTGCTTTATTTATCAACCAATAAGACAAACATATACACAGAAGGCCCTCCCCCATCATGCCAGCACTCAGGAGGCAGAGGCAGGTGAGTCTCTGTGAGTTTGAAACCAGCCTGGTCTACAAAGAGTGTTCCAGGACAGCCAGGGCTACACAGAGAAACCCTGTCTCGATAAACCAAAAGAAAAAAGTACTGGTGTCAGCTGGAGAAGTGGCTCAGTTGGTGGAGTGCTTTTGTAGCATGCAGGAAGCCATGGCTTGGTCCCCAGCACCACATAAACCAGGCGTGATGACGCCTATAATCCCAGCACTTGGGAGGTGGAAGAAGGAAAATCAAAAGTCCAAGGTCAGGCTGGAGCGACCACTCAGCTGTTAAGGCTAGGCTCACAACCAAAATTTCAAGGTCATCCTTGGCTTGAGTTTGAGGCCAGCCTGATCTACAGAGCAAGTTCCAGGACAGCAGGGGCTACACAGAGAAACCCTGTCTTGAAAAAACAAAAATAAATACAATATAATATGATAGAAAAACCATGCTGCTTGGTATTTTATGATTTATACATACAAATATATTTGCATGTATTTACAAAAAACTAAAGTAGTTGTGTAGAATGGCAAGATTAGGAGGCTGGTGGTATTTTAGGTATTCTTGAATAGTGTGTATAAAAAAGAAAGTACAAACATGAGAAGCCTAATTGTATGTTATAAGGAATAGGGAAACATAATGAAGGCGTTAGAGATGCCAAGTTTAGAAGAAAAGCCTTTTATTCCCACCGAGCTCTGGGGTTTGGTACTTCCACTGAGCCCTGGTGTGTGAGACTCGAGAACATGGGCTACCTCACCATACTTACATGAGACTATATTCGAAAATAGAAAGAGAGAAAGAGGAGAGGAAACTAAATACATGAGGTTCACACTGAGGCAGAGAAATCAGGGGTGGAGAGATGCTCAGTAGCAGTTAAGAGCACTGGCTGCTCTTGCAGAAGACCCTGGTTTGATTCCCGGCACCCATGCACTGGCTTGAGAATTCAGTTCCAGAGAATCCAAAACTCTCTACTGGTGTCTCTGGGTACTAGGTATACACATGGCATATGGATATACATGCAGGAAAACCACCCACACATGTTTAAAAACTAGTTAATTCTATAAGCATGTAATTAGGACCACTGAGATGAGCAAGTAATGACCCCTGCTGCCATGTATAAAAATCTGAGTTCCATCCTTGAGACCCACAGAGTAGGAGAGAACCAGCTCCCTAACTCACGGCACATGGGCCTCCATACACGTCTTAACACACTGTACATGTGTCTCCATACACATGTCTTCCCTTTAATTTAGTATAAAACAGAGGGATAGTCATTGCCTAAGTACAGGGTGTTCCAGTTGGGCAGTGATGGCACACGCCTTTAATCTCAGCACTCAGAAGGCAGAGGCAGGTGAATCTCTGTGAGTTCGAGGCCAGCCTGGTCTACAGAACAAGTTCCAGGGCAGCCAGGATTACACTGAGAAACCCTGTCTCCAAAAAACCAAATAAATAAATAAATAATGTGGAGTGTTCTATTGGGTTTCTCTTTGAAACTCTAACCAAGTTCCGCAGGTGCAATCATTAGACATGTGCTTTTCTTTCCCAGAACACTCTGTGATAATACTCTGAAAACAGGGTATTATCAATCTTTTTGCTCCATGTAAACTCCTCTCCCATGCAACCCAAGCACACTATGGCATCTGGCAGTCAGCTTGCATCATAAGTAGAATTTGCCCTCCTGTTGCCAGATGCCACAGACACTTGACCTCTGTGTTTCTCTCCTACTGTCCACATTATGTACTGCACTGACCCTGCTGCTGGGACACAAACGGTCCCCATGGCTTGACCGTCTGCAGGCCTCTCCATGGGAAAAGAATGTCTTTTTTTATGTAATATCTTTTTTTATTTTTTTATTTTTACTTTTTTTTTTCGAGACAGGGTTTCTCTGTGTAGCTTTGGAGCCTATCCTGGCACTCGCTCTGAAGACCAGGCTGGCCTCAAACTCACAGAGATCTGCCTGCCTCTGCCTCCCAAGTGCTGGGATTAAAGGCATGCCCACCAACGCCTGGCGTAATATCTTTTTTGTAAAGATTTATTTATTATGTATACAGTGTTCTTGTCTGCATGTGTCCCTGAAGGCCAGAAGAGGGCACCAGATCTCATTACAGATGGTTGTGAGCCATCATGTGGTTGCTGGGAATTGAACTCAGGACCTCTGGAAGAACAGTCAGTGCTCTTAACCTCTGAGCCATCTCTCCAGCCCATCCTTTCCTTAGTAATTTTCGTTTGTTTGTTTTACTTTTTGTTTTTTGAGACAGGGTTTCTCTGTATTGTTTTGGAGCCTGTCCTGGAACTAGCTCTGTAGACCAGGCTGGCCTTGAACTCACAGAGATCAGCCTGTTTCTGCCTCCCAAGTGCTGGGATTAAAGGCATGTGTGAGCCACACCCGGCCATCTTTTTAACAGAGATAGGACCATAGAAAACTTGGTGAGAAAACTCACTTGGGAATTGGTGGAAGTGGCTCCAGTGGGATAAACGTATCAAATTTTTTCTCATAAGGAGTCCTGAAAAAAAAAAAAAAAAAAAAGAGCAGTGGCAACAGCCATAAAATTGCAACAACCTCTTAAAACATGGAGACCAATGCATCGGCATTTCCAATATATGTCTGACCTTCCTTCTTGTATCCGTTCTCAAATGTGGGCTTCAAAACTGGATGGGGAATAATGCTTATTTTTTTGTTATGTTTCATCAAGGTCATTGACTCTCAAAACAGCTGTTTTCCTTTTTAGTTGAATGACTGTTCTTTGATCATATTTTCCTAAGTTCACCTCCACATTTAATGTCAACATATGTCACTAGCGATCAGACTGGGTCTGAAAGTTCTGAAGTCTCCAAGTATGTGGTAATAGAAATCAGACTAATGAGCAACTACTTCTTTCTTGTTCTATCAGCTTTTGAAAGTATAATATAATGGGTTTCCTGTTTCCATACATGTGTATCATTGGAACTGGATCATATTCAATCATCCATCACCCTCCCTTACCCCCCTACCCACTATCCCTCTTCCTTCCCCCAAATACTCCCCTCCCAGTGATACACTATACATACATATACACATATATATGCTATTGGAGTTTGAAGTTAAGGCCTTGCCTATGTCCACACCACCAATAAGCTATATCCCCAGCCCTTTTTGTGTCTTTTATTATTTCAATTCCACAATGTGTATAGTCACAAATTAACTAAATATGAACTTCTTAAGGAATTTTTCACTCCATCATATCTTATTGTTATCCACCCCTTAAAAAATAATTTCTATACAAGGAAGGACTAGGAAATGGTTCAGTGGGTAGGAGGCTTGCTATGAAAGCAACAGAACAAATCCCCAGCACCAGCATAAAAAGGCAGGCACAACTATGTGTGCTGTGACCCCAGCATTAGGGGGCAGACACAGGCAGATCTAGGAGCTCACTGGCCAGGCCAAAATGCTTTGAGTTCAGTCAAAACTCAAAATGCTTTGAGTTTTGTCTATTGTCACTTTGAGTCCAGTCTAAGCCATAGGGTGGAGAACAATTGAGGAAGACACCCAATGTCTTCCTCTGGCTTCCATCTGCACACGCAGGAGTGTACACACATGCACACATAAGTGCTCACAACACACACACCCACAGACACACACACACCAGAATACATAACTAAAATAAATAACCAGTTAATTAAATAGCACTAATCTATATGCAGCAGCAGACATTGGACTCCTTGACAGTTAGTTAATAGACTCCTCTGGAAAGAGCATGCACTCACAGCGAGAAGTTGACTGGCGGCAGAGTTGCTCCTGCTTTGAAGAACCCTTTACTCTGTTCTGGGAACATGTACGGATTATCCCCTGGTGTTAGCCTCGGGATTCCATTTCTGGGATCAATGTCTGTGGGAAACGTTTGAAAACATCACATGTAGGGCTGAAGCCAAAGCAGTGACATTACAGTGACAATCAAGTATCTCTATGCTTATTGTGAGATGAAGTTCTTGTCACCCTGCCTTAGGAAAGTCAAGTTCCCGGTGACTTTTTCCCCTACACTATGTTATCAAATATGATTATTTTAAAACATGGAAGACTGAGGAAGAGGGAGTGGAGAGAAGGTAAGAGCTAGAGGGTAGTGAGAAGTGTTGTGAAATATGGTCCCCTGGACGTGGTATGGCGATTGTACACAGGCACTCACAGTAGCTATGCAAGATTTGCATAAGGTCAAGCCAATTAAAATTTCACATAGATTGGGGGTAGTTTCCAAGGCCCTAGACCTGAGAATCTATTGTCACTTTTATTTAAGAGTATGGCCACTGGCAGGGTCCCCACACCCATGGATGACCTCACACATATGGGCAGCCCCAGAAGAAGGGCAAAAAAAAAAAAAAAAAAAAAAAAAAAAACTAATTTTTTTTAAAAGAAAAAAATAGGGTTGGGCCAGCCTTTAATCCCATCACTCAGGAGGCAGAGGCAGTCCGGATCTCTGTGAGTTCAAGACCAGCCTGGTCTACAAAGCTACACAGAGAAACCCTGTCTCCAAAAAACCAAAAAATAAAATAAAATAAAGCTGGCCAGAAGATGTGATAGGGTGGGGGAAGGGGGGCCCAAGAAGATTGGAGGTGGGAGGTGAGGTGTGAGTATGATCAAGACACACTATATACATGTGTGAAATTTTCAAATGATAATAAAAATCTAACAACAAAAGGAAAACACGGAGGATTGGGAATACAGTTCACTCATCTAGCATATATAAGGCCCTCGGTTCAATTTCCAGCACCACAAAAAAAAACCGAAAAGGAGTCAGGTGTTGGGGCCCATAAAGATGGCTCCACTTCATCTTGGCTCAAGGTCAGAGAGTTCAAAACTGTCCCTAGTAAGTCACAAGACCTAAAGGTCTAAGGTGTGGCTACAGGAGGATGATGGGAATGTCTTCTGTACATATGTTTATCTTATTGGTTGATGAATAAAGCACTGTGGCCAATGAAGCAGGATGGCAGGTGGGATTGGAGACAAGGAGGATTCTGGGAAATGTAGGCAGGGAGGGAGAGACACCATGTAGGATGCCAGAGGAGAAACAGGTCCGGACTCTCTCCGGTAAGATAAGACCCTGTGGAGATACTTAGATTATTAAAAATGGGTTATAACTTAGACAGAGCTAGCCAATAAGCAGCCATACCCAGGCCGGGCGTTGGTGGCGCACGCCTTTAATCCCAGCACTCGGGAGGCAGAGCCAGGCGGATCTCTGTGAGTTTGAGGCCAGCCTGGTCTCCAGAGCGAGTGCCAGGATAGGCTCCAAAACTACACCGAGAAACCCTGTCTCGAAAAACCAAAAAAAAAAAAAAAAAAAAAAAAAAAAGAAGAAGAAGAAGAAGCCATACCCAGCGAGGGTATTTTTGATAATATAAGTCTTGTGTGTTTATTTGGGTGCTCAAAGGCAGCTGCAGAACCTGGCAGGAAGAATGTACCTAACAAAATGGTACCCTCAACGTGTGGCATGAACTTCCACTTAAAATTTGGCAAAAGCTTAAAAAGGGATTTAGAAATAAAAGAACAGAGGCAAGCACGGCTTTCTAAATGTACTTGGGTGTATATTATACACATATGTGTGTGTGTGTGTGTGTGTGTGTGTGTGTATATATGTATATATATATATGGTATGTGTGTACATGTGCACATAGGTGTGCAATATGAATGTGCGGTTCTACCTGTGGACATCAACGGTCAATGCTGAATGTTTTCCTCAATTGCTTTTTTTCTTATTTTTTGACTCAGAGTCTCTCACTGAACTCATTTGTCTATATAGGCTGGCCAGTGAGCTCCAAGAGTCCATCTGTCTCAGCTCCCTCAGTTCCAGGGTTCCAGTGGATGACCCCTGCGCCTGACTTTTGTGGGGGCTCTGGGGATCAGAACTTGGGTCTTCAGCCTTGTGCAGCATCCATCTCTCCAGCCTGCATTTCCTCTGATTTTTTTTTTAAATTTTAAGTGTATGAGTGTTTTGCCTGCAGGTATGTCTGTGTACTACATGAGTGCCTGGTGGCCACAGAGATCACAAGAGAGCATTGGATTCCCCTAGAACTGGAATTATAGATGGCTGTGAGCCACCATGTGGGTGCTGGAAATAGAATCAGGTCCTCGGAAAGAGCAGCCAGGGCTCTTAACCACTGAGCCACCTCTGCAGCCCTGCATTTCCTCGTGCTGAACAGGAAGTTTAGGGTCTGGACAAGGCACGGGGATCCCGTGAGGACCCCACATCAATAGCCATGCTTGCAGGGTCCCCGGGATGGTTCTTTCTCCAGATAAAGCCAACCATAATTTGAAAATCCATTTGCCCTTTACATGAGTTTTACAAGAGAAGCTGCTGCTTACTCCTCTTTGCACAGCGTCTACAGAAACCTTATTCATCACTGAGGTGATGGCTGCCTCCTCCTACATGGGTATTTCTATAAGGAGGTGCCAAAAATGGCCCAGTGCGCAGCAACATCTTAGGATCTTTTTGAGAAGTCTATTCTGAGAGAGTAGGGGCAGATAATTCACCAGGTTATAAACCAAGGTAATACATGGATTTGAATATGGTGTATGTATAATATTTCATCTTAGTTGTCTTTAATTAAAACTAACACTGTATACTTCATGCTAAGGCTTACATTACCAGTGGCATCTAACTGAAACACACAGGATTTTCTTGGGACTTCAATGAGGCTTCTACTAATGATCTGAAGTGACTCATTTGGTGACTTAAATGTCCCGTTAGCATTTCATGAAAGCTAGAGAAAGACAAAAGTGTGGATCGGTGTGCATTCTGAGTCCTTCATTAAAAAAGTGTCGCCTGTGAACTAGGCTCTCTGCCTTCCTCTCTTCCTGGCTGCACTGTGGGCAACAGGGTGACCCTGCAGAGCTGTCCCCAGGCAGAGAAATCAGAATCCACAGAGTCACAACTGAGAGCTTGTTGTCTGTTTGTTGTTTGTTTCATCTTGGATGGAATGAGACATATTACCATATTTCTTCCTCCCAAGGCTCTTGTCCACGGTGCTCTCCGCCACAGACTTCCTGTTGCCCCGGAAAACCCCACTGAAGAAGCACTGCTTTCCAGTGTGGTAGGTGTGGATATTGCTGCTAAACCTTGGATAAAATGTCCACTCAGGACGATGCCCGTCTTCTGCAAGATATCAGAAACCTTTTCATTAGCCCTGCTCTCTGCCCTCAATACAATTAGACAAGATGTAAAAACTCCTCAAGCTCTATTTAGCCTTCTCACATACACACTTTTTTAAAAATGTGGAAGAGTATTTGCCTGCAAGTATGTATGTGGACCACAGGCATGCAGTGCCCACAGAGGCCAGAGAGGGCCTGGATCTTCCTGGAACTGCAGTTACAGGCAGTTATGGGCCACCATGTGGGTGCCAGGAACCCAATCCAGACCCACTGAAAAGCAGACAGTGCTACTAGCCACTGAGCCATCTCTCCAGCCCTCACACTCTTTTGGCATTTAGATACAGTCTCACTATGTAGTCTAGGTTGACTTGAACTCTTTTGTGTGTGTGTGTGTGTGTGTACATGTATGTTTGGGTAGGTACATATGTGTAGGTGTACTTGTGAGTTTATGTACCACAGGTCAACATCAATGTCTTCCTCAATTGCTTTTTCATCTTTTTTTAATATTTATTTTTGTGTGTGCATGGGTGTGTTAAGGTGGAAGCTTCACCCAAGCCCCTTCCCTATCTCCCTCCAAACCCTGCTGCATCTCAGAAATCCCACCAAATGATGACCCCTCCCCCAGAGATGCTCAAGACCACTCCCACAGGGTATTTAAACTGTTCCCCAGAAACCAGACTTGTGGTTTTTACCGTCTCCCTTTCCTGTCTCCTCTCTGGGGGGCTGGAAGGCCTTCTAGGAGTGCTGTATCCATTAACAGTGGGCTTTTTCTAATTCAGTTTGATTTGATCTGATTTGGATTGCTGTATCAGCGGAGAGACTTATCCAGGTGTAGAAACTTTTCAGGGTGTTTTGCCTGCTTGTATTGAAGGGCACAGACCCTCACCCAGCCACCTGCTTTGGCAGCCATGACAGGCTACAGAAAACACCCAGCAAGATGTAGGCCCCTGACTCAGCACATGTGCTGAGCCTTTGACCTTGCCCAACCCTGCCCTAATCACTAGGAAGCAAGTGCCAGATACTCTGCATGTGGCAAGGAGTAGAAGTTAGCTGGCGGGCTCCAGATGTGCTTTACTGATAATAGTGGTGTGCAGGGCATAGCAACTGTCCTGGAAGGGCCTCCGGGCATAGCAACTTTTCTGCAACTGCAGCTGACCATTCAACTCAGGATAGGTTGCCCAAGCCCGGAGATGCACCAAACCTAAGACTGGACCCCCCCAAGACATTCCCCTTGCTCTACCCCAATATATGCCTGAAAGGAGTAAACTAAAGGATTCACTTCTAATAATTTACACTGGGGAAAAATTGTATAAATGTGACAAAGTCTTAAGTTCCCATTCAACTCTTATTATTCATCCTAGAGAGAAATAAGGGGACCAGACCCTCACTCAGACCCCTGCTTTAGCAGTCATGACAGGCTACAGAAAAGACATGCAGGCCTCTGACATAAGGAAACTCCAGATCCCCTGCACCAGCCCTGTCCACCTGTAGCCTAGGGCCAAAACTGAACACAAAGAAACTTCAGGACCCCCCCCCCCCCCCCCCCCAAGAATTTTCCCCCTCAAAACCAGCCAGTTGCCGATCCCACACAACCCTCGATGGACTGTTGCTTCCTAGTAGGCTCTGGTCATTCCTGGGCCAATGGCTTTCCTCAAACAGCAGGCCAACAAGACAAAGCCATAGAAACCACAGAATGTTCCCTCTCAGCACTGACCAATGAGAATAATTGGTCCACAGGTATTTCATGCCAAAATATGACTTTGAAAAATTCTCCTAATTGTTCCCAAATGTCAACCAATCAGAAACCAACCCATACCTGAAAGGTTCAGGCTTTACACTGGCCTGGCCCTGTAACCTGGCAGAATCCACTCAGGCAGTGCCCTGGTCAGCCTAGGGTTTTATGAGAACTAGTCTGCACGCAGGTGTAAAGGACTCCTTTAAAAGACCAACCCCCCCCCGCCCCGCCCATTTACTCTTCTCTTATCTTCCTCTTTGCTCTCTCACTCTCTCTCTCTTACTTTCCGATCTCTCTCTTACTCTCTCTTTCTCTCTCTCTCCCTCCCTCCCTCCCTCCCTCCCACTCTCGATCTCGCTCTCCCCCTCCCCCACCTGGAATAAACTATGGTTAATGTACTCTCTAGTTCGTGTCACAGTTTCTTTTCTTATATTTTTAAACTTTTACAAAATAACAATACCTACTGATGTAATCCTGTAACTTTTGTCTTTAAAACCTAGCAGTAGACAGGGAACATCGCTTTCTCTGGTGGCTGCTCAGTCAGCCAGCCAGCCAGGTCCCTGTCATGGTTGGATGAAATAATAAAACCTTGCTTTTACAGTTCAGTGGATCTGTCTCCATGGTGGTCTTTGGAGATCCTCACAACTTGGGCACAACAATGTCCTGCCCCAGTGCTGCTCAGAGTCCCTCCTACTCCATCCGCTGTGTCGATAGACAGAGGACCCTAGTTAACTTGTAAACTAAAAAGACTCTCTGCTTTTGCATAAAATCTGATCTGTTGGTAGTTTGGGGGTTTCAGTGTCTGGGGACAACAGTATGTCTGGGTACCACGTGAAGGCCTAGTGCCCAGGGAAGTCAGAGAAGGGCATTGACTCTGAAGGGACAAGCTCCCCATTTCGGCAGCCATAACAGCCTAACACGTGCTTGCCTGACCTTGCCTTGGTCACTAGGAGGTCAGATGCCTGCCTCGTGGCAAGGAACCAATCAGAAGTTAGCTGGTAGTGCTATGCTTTACGGCTCTGGGTGTGCTTTATGGACAAGTGCACAGCAATGACTTGAGCAATTACTTGAGAAATAAACAGGACTTTTTAAACAGAATTAGCTTAATATGGTTAAAATTTTAATTTATATTACCATTTTTTAAAATTTACTATTTGTAGACATGAGAAACCATAACAAACAGTTTACATTTTTCTCTTTTAACAATCTTTCCTCTGACCTTCTACGACTTGCTTTAACCCTCTATAACTTTCTATATACCCTTGGTTTACTCCTCCGATTTTCTTAGACATTCTTAGACAAATTTCTCTTTCCCTTTTTTTTCTATCACTTTACTACATTCTCATTTCTCAGTCAACATAAAAATGTTTATCAAAGTCCTTTCCATAGTTTTTAATAACTTTAAGGCCTTTTTTTTTTTAGAACATCCAAATCAGACCAGATAGCTCACCCACCCGAGCTCCACGTGCTCAGGGGAGAGACCAGTGGTCAAAAGTCAGACTGAGGGGGGTGGTTAGTACAGAGACAGACACAAACAGAAAAAACAGGACAGACATCAGACAGGATAAACTGTGCGGCAGAGGAATGGTGCCCCAAACCAAAATTACAAACAACCGTTGGACTTTCGTCCAGGGCGGGACTTCAGAGTCTAAACAACACGTCTGTTTCCCCCTGAGGTCCGAATACCAGTACAAATACGAGTCCTGCGCAGGTCCAAATCAAATTCAAGTCATGGCACCAAACCAACAAAACAGCAGGAGACATACAGAACATTGAACATATAAGTTGTGAGCTCGAATCATCTTTTTTTTTTTTTTTTTTGGTTTTTCGAGACAGGGTTTCTCTATGTGCCTTTGGAGCCTATCCTGGCACTCGCTCTGGAGACCAGGCTGGCCTCGAACTCATAGAGATCTGCCTGCCTCTGCCTCCTGAGTGCTGGGATTAAAGGCGTGCGACACCAACACCCGGCTAAGCTCAAATCATCTTACCTCCAAGATCTAATCCACTCAGGTGAGGGGTGGTCACAAATCCAGGACGAGCCCCCAAATGTTAGACCCCCGGAAAAACTCAGGTATCCGGTGTCCCAGGCCACAACCTCGGTCACCCCAATCACCTGGCAGATTTCAGAGCTTGATGCAAACTGCATGAGGCTTTATTGTTTTTAACGAGCTAACCCCATGTTAGCTCAGGTCTTTCACCCACCCGCCATGGCGGATGGCTAGCAAAGACACCTCAAACCAGCTGCGGAGCGATCTTGTAGGGCAGCGTAAGGGGAGTGTCTGGGGTTACACACAGGCTCAGGATTGGTGTGACTCCAGGCTTGGAGGGTTTGCCCTGTGTTGATTGGCCAATTGGTTGTTATGGCCCATAGGCCCTCCCAGGGTGTTTGCTATGCTCTGCACATCATTGCTGTGCACTTGTCCGTAAAGTACACCCAGAGTCGTAAAGCATAGCGCCACCAGCTAACTTCTGATTGGTTCCTTGTCACGAGGCAGGCATCTGACCTCTAGTGACTAAGGCAAGGTCATAGCCAGCACGTGTTACTGTCATGGCTGCGGAAGTGGGGAGCTGGTCCCTTCAGTAGCTACTGTTTAAGGAATATAAAGTAACTATATGCAATTTAAATTCAACTGTGCTAAGTTCCAACTATTTTACTAAGTTAAAACCAGTTACAGTCAGACTGAAAAATTAATTAATTACAGAAATAAGGCTTTACCTAGCCACCTATGTGCTTAAGGCAAATAACTAGAACAGACAGACAGACCTCTAATGCTTCAGAGACCTGCAGAATATGGCATTTAAAATGTTGTTTTAAAAGTTTATAATATCAGACAGACTGCCAGATCCTGACAGTGACCCAAAGATTCCAAAGAAGATTATGAGGCACCCCAGTTCCTGCACCTGGATGATGAGGACGCTGACCAGTGAGTGAGATGCTCAAATATGACACCTGTTGCCTGCCAGAACCTGACTGTAGACAAAACTGCTGGACACTGGAAAATTGATTGCACCCCCTTTGCCTAGACAAAGCAAGGTCAGTCTTTTCCATGTCCCTCTTCCACATGAAAAAAAAAACAAAAACAAAAACAAAAACCTCTCATCTTACAGGCCTGGTGAAGATTGCTGTTCTTTGATACTTCTGCCTCCAACAATAATGGAGAGACTTGGGTATGGCTAACTGTATATGGACTGTCTTCTAACTGGCTTCTGTTGCTTTTTAGTAGATTCGGAAACTGTATAAAATTTACCCTTCTCAGATCTCTGAAATTATTAATGGTTGTCAGCTTGACAGCATCAGGCAGTCAGATCCACTATAGACTATAGTCGGCTTGGTAGCTGATAAAGTAATGAGTACCTACTGTTCAGGCACAAGTTAAAGGTATTTAGGTTTATTTTGGTTGTCATCTAAGTATAAACTTAAAGGGCTTTTCATCAGGCTAAAGCACCTCTGTCCAATCCATGCCTAACTCTCTGGACAGAAGACAAATGTACATGCTTCTAGTCCAAATCTGTAGTTTTTGCTAGGACTCAAAGTTATAAATCTGTTCCTGCTGTTTGAACAGATATCCAGATATCTGCTTTTTTCTGCACTGTGGGTTTCAGTAAATAAGTTTTAACTTCTGTTCCTAGTTTAAACATGTCTTAAACAGGTTTCTGCTTCTGGCAGACATCTGAGTATCAGTTGCTAACTACAGGCTGTTCCTAAGTAGACTGCGAGCCCTGGACTTGCTGTGGATATGTCATATCAGCTAGACTGATATGACACCCCTTGTCTCTGCAACAGAGTCTGTCAATACCTCCTGATGGCTTCTGCATTGCCTAAATTCCCTTTGGTCCCTAACTTTTTCCCAAAGCCAACAGGAAGTAGCATGGGAAAGAATACGTTGCCCATTTTCCCTGGTTGAAATGCTAAATCAAAAGGAACTCTCTTACATAGGGGACGCCAATATCTCTCACTCCCTGATGGGGATGCTGGAGAGACAGCAATTCC